CCTGCACACTCCCCACTGGGGATGTGCCCGCAACCCAGGTACATGCCCTTGACCGGAATCGAACCTGGGACCCCTCAGTCCGCAGGCCCACGCTCTATCCACCGAGCCAAACCGGTTCCGGCCTAGTCTACTTTTAATGTCTTTATTATTTTGATGAAATTTTGGAAGGGTGGGGAAACAGGATTACCATGGCACCATTCATATTGTACTTTCTTGGAATTGTTTTTTTTTTTTTTAACATTGTTTTTTAATATATTTTATTGATTTTTTACAGAGAGGAAGGGAGAGAGATAGAGAGTTAGAAACATCGATGAGAGAGAAACATCGACCAGCTGCCTCCTGCACATCTCCCACTGGGGATGTGCCCGCAACCCAGGTACATGCCCTTGACCGGAATCGAACCTGGGACCTTTCAGCCTGCAGGCTGACGCTCTATCCACTGAGCCAAACCGGTTTCGGCTTCTTGGAATTGTTATGTTGAAATCAGTCTACTTTTGAAATGGAAGATTTTTTACTTTAAAAAAAACTTAAGAAAATAATTCAGAAATGTTGGAGTGCTTTCTATCAGCGGGTACTAAAATAAGTAGTAATAGTCACTGTTCTAATGTTAGTGCGGTTGGAAATAACCACTTATTTATGGTATTGTATGATCAGTGTAGCAAACTAGATTTGGGGGTGGTCAGGTTCTAAGATGAATTCAGTTAAAACTAGGAAGCAAGAGAAATGAGGACAGTAGGGACTATTCTGTGTAGAAGCAATAGCATATTCAAAGGTTCAGAACGTGATGTGTTTAAGGTTGTAAAAGGATAGTTTTTTATTTTCATCTTTCATTAAAAGCTGTATTCAGCCCAGCCAGTGTGGCTCAGTGGTTGACCATTGACCCGTGAACCAGGAGGTCCATTTGATTCCCAGTCAGGGCACATGCCCAGGTGGTGGGCTCAATCCCCAATAGCGGGCAGGAGGCAGCCGATCCATGATTCTCTTGGTTGGTGTTTCTCTCTTAACTCTCCCTTCCTCTCTGACCTAAATAAAAATATATATTTTAAAAGAGGTGAACTCCAAATAAAGTGACTTGTGTTTCCCTTGAAAACAGAGAGAATTACTAACGTTGGCGAGATCCATGTGAAGACTTTAGAAGAAATTCTTCTCGAAAGAGCCAGTCAGAAACGCGGAGAATTGCAAACTAAACTCAAGGCAGAAGGCTCTTCAAAAGCTGATGATCCTACTTCAGGAGCAAGAAGCTCTTCCACCGTTCGAATCAAAACCTTCTCTGAGGTCCTGGCTGAAAAGAAACACCGGCAGCAGGAAGCAGAGAGACAGAAAAGCAAAAAGGATGTCGCCTGCGGCAAGTTAAAGACGGATAGTGACACTAAAAAAACATCGGTTTTGCCGCCAATGGTGGCCAACAAAGGACAATTAGAGGAGCCTGCAGGGAGAACAAAGTCTATGCAGGAGGTGCATATCAAGACGCTGGAGGAAATTAAACTGGAGAAGGCACGGAGGGTGCAGCAGAGCTCCAAGAGCAGCCCCAGCTCCCAGCCTCAGCCTGAGATCACCGCGGGGGCGCGGCGGCTTTTCCGAATCACCAAAAAGTCAGGTAATGAGAGAGAGCTTCCCCAAGTAGTCTTTCTGAGGGCAGGGCTCCGCAGGGTGTTCCTAGGCATTCTGTAAAGTTCTCTTTACTCAGATAACCTGTGAGAACCACTGGGTTACACGAAGTGAAGCTTTCTGAATAGCAGCACCCGTAGACCTTTCATATTTTAAAGTTCATTTTGAAAGTGTATAAGGACTACTGGGCTTTATCTACCATTTTATTAGCCCTATGTTAGCATTATTTTCATTAAGAAAAGTTTTGTTTGACTTCTTCTGTCATGAAGTTAGAGCCTAAATGAAATAACTAAAGATCTGTTTAATGTGAATGTAGGTATGAAAGAAGAGAAGAACCTTAAAGAAGAAAGTGAAGTTGCATTTCAGAGCAGTGTTGCTAGAATAGAGGCTAAAGAGGTGAGTTTATTTTAAAATCATTTTATAATTTTGTCCATGGCAAGGGAAGGCTAGATGAATGGTGAAATGTGCTTTTTAGTTTTAGCTTATAATAAATTTCTGTTTAACACTTCACTGATATGTAAACAGTCTTTCACTGTGTGTATAATTTTCTACAGGGAAAAATTTTTTTTTTCTAATGGGGGTTTTCTGTACTTCTGTGTATATCACCAGTGTCCTCTGCCCTTTGAAAGTTTTTTAATTGGCATCAGTGTTTTTAAACTGAGCTTTTTTTCTTGCCTTTCAGAGTAAGGCCAATTCATTGTACTAAAGTTGGTATTTTTTAAAAAATATATATTTTATTGATTTTTTATGGAGAGGGATAGAGAGTTAGAAACATCGATGAGAGAGAAACATCCATCAGCTGCCTCCTACACACCCCCTACTGGGGATGTGCCCGCAACACAGGTACATGCCCTTGACCGGAATCGAACCTGGGACCCTTCAGTCCACAGGCTGACGCTCTATCCACAGAGCCGAACCAGTTAGGGCTAAAGTTGGTAATTTTTAAAAGAATGAGAAACCTTGTAATTTCAGTCTACATGTACCTACCATTCATTTTGTTTTTCATGGATTTCCTTCAAGCCTTTTGTTTACATACACATATGTGAATTCATTTAATATTTGACTCGTGTTTAGAATGTAAAGGCAGTGCTCATTTTGTAGCCTGCTTTAACTTTTACCACATTAATAATTCTTCAAGATGTTCGTCTATATTGACCACATAGTGTTCTTTATACAAATGTAGTCTGTTTCTGGACTTTGTTTTACCTAAGATAATGAGCATCTTTGTACATTAATGCAAGTGTCTGATTATTTTAAATCATTTTTATTATTAGACTCAGGGTCATGATTAGCCTAAAGAATCTGAGATTTTATTGTTGCACATATATTTAATCTTTCCTCTTTAGCTTGATGGGGTATGTTTTGTTGTTGCTTTTTTGTTAATCCTCACCCAAGGATATTTTTTTCCATTGTGGAGAGAGTGGAAGGAAGGAAAGGAAAGAGAGAGAGAGAGAGAGAGAAAGAAAGAGAGAGAGAAACATCGGTGTAATAAAGACACATCAACTGGTTGCCTCCGCCCCTCCTGGTGCCAGGGATTGAACCCGAAACCCAGATATGACTTGGACTCAAACCCGAAATCCTTCAGTTCACAGGCTGGTGCTCTAACCACTGAGAAAACCAGCCAGGGCAGCTTGGTGGATTTGTTTTTATTTTTAAATATATTTTTATTGATTTCAGAGAGGAAGGGAGAGAGAGGAGAGAGAATCATCGATTGGCTGCCTCCTGCCCGCCCCCGACTGGGGATCAAGTTCACAATCTGGGCATGTGCCCTGACCAGAGATCGAACCATGACTTCCTGGTTCATAGTTCAACACTCAACCAACTGAGCCACATTGGCTGGGTAGGTGGTTTTAATTTAATATCAAAGAGCAAAACAAGCTCTTGTGTTTTGGATTATGTGAGACACTGCTTGACTTGTAACTTATAAATAGCAATTATCATATAGGTTGTTAGAGGTACTAGATTTTTTTTAAAAGGTTTTTTAAATTGATTTTTCAAGAGAGAAACATCGATGTGAGAGCAAAACCATCAATTGGCTGCCTCAGCCCCTCCCAGGGATTGAACCCACCACCTGGGCATGTGTCCTGATTGGGAATCACACTGGCAACCTTTTGGTGCACAGGATGACACCCAACCAGCTGAGCCAGATTTTAATTCTGTCATTTAAATTTATACATAGGCTTCAAATGAGACAACAGGAGGTGGCATTAAAATTCCAGTCAAGAAAAGTGAGACGATGCGAGAAAAGTACGTACAGAAACAGCCAGAGAGGGGAACCTCACAGAAGGAAAAACCTGTTCTGCCACCCCCCTGGGGAGCTGTAGACGCTGGTAGTGCCCAGCCAGCAGACCCGCCAGTGCTCGCTGCTGCGCCGAGCATCACACGGAGCCTCACAAAGCGGCTTCCTGCCAAGTCATCCCAGAAGGCAGAGGTGGAAACCGCACGGATTGGCGACTCAATACTGAGTGTGAAGTGTGCAGCACAGACTGTGGAGAAAAGGGTTAAAGGTGAGTGTTCTTCCTCGCATACCTTGCGTTAGGACAGTGATGGCGAGCCTTTTGAGCTCGGCGTGTCAGCATTTTGAAAAACCCTAACTTAACTCTGGTGCCGTGTCACATATAGAAATTTTTTGATATTTGCAACCATAGTAAAACAAAGACTTACAGTTTTGATATTTATTTTATATATTTAAATGCCATTTAACAGAAAAATCAACCAAAAAAATGAGTTCGCATGTCACCTCTGACACGCGTGTCATAGCTTCGCTATCATTGCTTTAGGATCTCAAAATTATCAAATTTCTGTAATTCCCTGGGAGCAATTGGGCTGAATTTCATTTATCTTATATCCGGGTCACACAAAGTGAATAGTAAGGAGCAGTTCTTATAATTCTATTTAAAGAGACAAATCTAGATGAGTTTCTTTCTCAGCATTTAAAATTGCTGTTTAGATTTTTTTTTTTAATTTTCTGTGGTATGTTTCTCCTCTGATTTTGAAGAAGAAAAGGAGTAGAAGAGCAGTGGCAAATTCAAGAGCCACTGAAGAATCATTTGAGTATATGTGTTCATTATGTTCGTGTGTAGTGCAGATGCTTGTGGGTCATTTTCACTCTAGGTTTTTTTTGTCATCGTTTTGTTTGTATGTTGTATATTACTGTGAAGGAATTTTGATATTCTGAGTTATTCTCCATGTAAAATAGGGATATTTTAAACTAATCAAATATTTTCCATTCCTTGTAGCTAAACCCAAAGTGAATGTGAAGCCATCTGTGGTTAAAGTGGTCTCTTCCCCCAAATTGGCCCTGAAGCGCAAGGCAGCGGAGATCCACCCTGCCGTGGCAGCGGTGAAGCCGCTCAGCGCCAGCGGGGACCTACAGGAGAGCCCGGCCAAGAAAGCAGCCATGGTAAGAGGCAGACCCAGCGGGGCAGTGCTTTCGTCTCCGTGGTAGGGAAGCAGGGACGCTGATCCTCCATCTGTATCCGTGTGGGATACTTCCTGCCATTTCCTAAGCATTTCGTTGTTTAGTTGTTACTGTATTTTATGTTTACGGTCAGACATTGGTGAAGTGGCAGATTAGGATTTTTGAAAGCTAATTTTTGGGCGCTTAAAATATTTTGCTTATTTGTGCATCCAACCTTTGGATTATTTACTCTTGATTCCCAGGATTAAAGAAAGATAGCCATGATTCCAAGAAGGTGGCAAAAGAAAGTGAGTGTGCTCACATTAAAAAGCTGACTCTCCCACTTAATTACATTGCTCTTCCTTTCGTAGGCTGTTGTCCCACTCCTCTCTGAGGACAAAGCAGTCACTGTGCCTGAGACAGAGAGACCTAGAGACAGGTAATACCTTGCAGTTCTCTTAAATCAGACTTAGGCCATTAGTATTGCTTATGCTGTCTAGAGAATAAAACTGCTAAATAATTCTAAGCATGTACAATTTAGCCATATCTAAATTCGTCTGCTGAACTTCAAATTAATTTTAAGAAAACATAATGCTCAGGGTGGCTATTCTCCTTAGGTGCCATTGTTTATATTTTGCCTGTATTATTTCAAGGATGTTTTGAAAGCCTGCCTGAATTCTGCTTTAAAGGGAAGATGCTTTGTCCTAATTAGTAAAACAATTCCTTTTCTGTGTCCTCAAACAACTCTTTGCTAACTCTTTGTATCACTGAGAGTAGGTAGTCCAGCTAGCCATTGAAAAAGGACAGTTTTTAATAATCTTCTGGGTGTTTTTTTTCCGTACAGTCTTGTGCTGCCTCCAGCCCAATCCTCGTCAGATCCCTCTCCACCAGAAGTATCCGGCCCTTCCTCATCCCAAATGGCCACGAAAACTCGCCGACTCAGCACTGCTTCGACAGGAAAACCCCCGCTCTCTGTGGAGGATGATTTTGAGAAACTAATATGGGAGATTTCAGGAGGCAAATTAGAAGCCGAGATTGACCTGGATGCTGGGAAAGATGAAGATGACCTTCTGCTTGAGCTGTCAGAAATGATTGATAGCTGAAGATGATAGTAGGACATTTCAAACAAACAAAAACAAAAAAACTCACCAAAAAACTGCACTTAGTTTCATCTATTGTAACATTTACCCAAGATGATCATTTCTTTAGTCTAGAATTTGCCCCAGATCAGAAGTATACCTCTGAATTACCTGTATGTGTCCTAGATTCCTTGGGGTCAGATTTTTAAAGTCCCTTGATAAACATTTTGTCCATTTGATGCCACTGTTTAGCATCTTCAAGAAAAAGTTCTTTCTTACCCCTCTCTCCACAAAAAGACTGAGAGAGAGATCCAAGTGAATGATGCAAGAGAACTTGGTGACTCCTTGAGGTGTTGTCAGTTTTGGCTTTTCCCCCTTAGTTGTATTATTTCTTTTATGTATTGTCTTAATGTACTTACTGTTACCTGAGTTTGGAAAGGATGAAGACAGCTGCTATCATAAGGACCAAATTTCATGCTACCACTAAAAAAAAAATTCAGTCTGTGTTAAATTGTATGTCTTTTTTAAAGTATTTGGAGATTCGTCTAAGCTTTAGAGCTGAGCAGCTCAGGAAGCCTGTAATCTGGACATAACTTTTTGGACCCGATTTTCATGTTTCTACTGCTGAGTAAGCCTCTGAAGATCAATAGCTAATTTATTATTACTGTAATTTTTTAAGGCTTTAAAGTGCCTCAGGGGTTCTCTGAAATTAATTTTCTATTTCTGGGATTCCCTGGATTCTTATTAAGAGATGGTGACATAATGATTAGAGGAATTCTCTTTTTAGTATGAAAGTTGTCCCTTCTCTTTAGTACTTGCCTCCTACTCACATTGAATTATCACAGGAATAAAAATTGGTTAATTTTATATTTCTAACTCTCCCAGCAAACTCCTCTAACCCAGTATTTATTTGGTGTCCTTTAACTATCAGAGGGAGGAAATGAACTCATTCAAGCTGCCAATATTTATGTGTGGACTGTAGCAGTACAATGAATTGTACTACAGAAGGGATTATTTGAGATGTTCTGGAGGTGTATTGTATACCATCCAGTTTTCTTCATTTCTGAATTGAATTTTCTTTCTTTGATGTTGGTCTCCCTCCTTCATATCACCTCAAGGTTTAGACTGTGAAGGGACAAGTATGCGGGGCTAATCGTCTTAGAAGGAGACATGACATATGTCGGAAGGAGGAGGAAAGAAGGACTTGTCCGTTTTGATACTTTGCTGTAGGTGGCAGTTTTGTTTCTCATAGGGGAATCTGACCCACCTGTCATGTTGGCTCCTAAGGAACTGCTATTGTAAGCGGCTCATCAAGAGTTGAACTTCATGTAGCCTTGTTGAGAATACGGAAAAGGAAGAAAGCCACAGGACTGCCCATTCAGTCTTGGGAAGATCTGGATGATTCTGCACAAGCAAAAATGACTTGAAATTTATGTATAGACACTCCTCTGTCGATCCATCTTCAGCTGACTGAATGTTGTATCATAGCCCTTCTCCAAAGCAGGGGTGGAATGTTTGGTTTCACCACAGATTTTCTAATCATTTCATTTCTGGAATCAGCTTAGATTCCAGGTCCGTTTTGTATATAATCTTTATTTGCTTTTTAAAAAATAATTTTGTTTCATATTTAAAGCCCTTGTATTAGTCAATGATTCATGTTCAGCATTGTTTGAACCATTTGCCATTCATTACACAAAGAGAAATACTTATTTGTGTTTTAAATAAAACTGGTGTAGGAAAGTCTTGACATTGTGAGTTAACTGGTCATACCTCATGTCAGCCTAGGATCTGCCTCAGTAGAGGCCCCAATCGGAATGGTGTTGGCCTTTTGTGTAAGTGCTCCAATTTCACAGGTATTACTTGGCTTGAGAAATCTTTTCAAGGATGTACTGCCAAACTCACCACAAACTTACTCAATTTTAGTTATGTACACTTTAGGTAAGAATGCAAATTATATGTGAGGATTCTTTTCTGGCACTGACTTAACCATTATCATTGTAACTCAAGTAATGCCATTAAATTTCTTAAAGGAGAGAATGTTGATAAGTGATCTTAGATGGAGTCAACAATTTAGAATTTTCAAGCATGAAGGCAATTCAAAATTTCAATTCCAGAAAATCCAGTTTTTTTCAGTAGTGTGCCAATATTTTGTTATGGGGTTACCATATAAATTTGTCAGACACCAAAAAACTTAGATTTTTTTTCTTTGTGAAATAGTACCAACAAGTTGAATCAGCTTTTCACAAAAGGCTAAACAGATTTATATTTAGTTTTGAGTGATGATGGTTTTCAATTTTAAATAGGGAAAAGGCCCAAATAGTACAGTTTGGCTAAAGCCAAAAATTTCAAAATAGTTTGCAATTCATATATTTGTCTCAAGATCAATGATTTCTAAAATTGTGACCTAAACCTCAAATTCCAGTGGGTCCTCTCTCATAGGGCCAGAACAGAGTTCCTTTTTTCTTTTTTTTTTTAAATACATTTGTGGTGGGGTTTTATTTAATGTTTTTTTTATTGATTTCAGAGAGGAAGGGAGAAGGAGAGAGAGAGAGAAACATCCATGATGAGAGAGAATTATTGATCAGCTGCCTCCTGCAAGTCCCCCACTGGGGTTCAAGCCCACAACCCGGGCATATGCCCTTGACTGGAATTGAACCTGGGACCTTACAGTTCGTAGGCCAACGCTCTATCCACTGAGCTATAACCAGCTCGGGCCAGAGTGTCTTTTCATCTTAACCAACCTTTGAAACTGTAGAAATCAGACAAGTTTAGTATAGTTTCAGGAATAAAGCTTACTCTATATTGGCCAAAGTTTTATGATCCTTTTCTAAAACTGGCTTTATGTTACTGGAGTATTTTTGCAATCCTTAAAAATATTTGCTTTGAATTTGTCAATTTAGCAACAGGAACTGTGGTCACTAGTTGCTAACTCTAATAGGTAACATTTTAAAACTGGCTAACATTTATTGAGTACTTAGTGTGTACCTCTTATTTTACATAACCATTTTGATACTAAATCTTACACTGCATTGAAGATCACTGCTTTTGTCCTCACTGTAGTGTCAAAGTCAGTGTAATCAGATTTAACAAGGAAGTACAGGCATATTCTTAATGTGCAATTGGGTTTAATTCATTTCAAGAGCTCTTTTTTCTTAAATCATCTTTGAAAGCTGCTCAATAATCGGTGCAAGTTTCCACAACCCGCACATCCGACTGCATTAGTAATTTTTTTCAGATTCCATTTGAAATTTCAAAATGATATCAGTTAAGGGCATGAGCACAAGGAAAATACTTGACCATTTTCCTAGCACGGTAAAATAAAACGGGCAAAGAATAAGCAATGACTGAGTGGACCGATGAAAGTATTTAGATTTTGGTTGGATTTAACTGCTGTGTTGTTACTGTCTTAGTCTATGGCAGGAGTGGGGAACCTTTTTTCTGCCAAGGGCCATTGGATATAACATGGGCCAAGTAAAATTATCAACTTAAAAATTAGCCTGCTATGTTTGGTCAAATATTGAATTAACTACTAATGCCTTGACAGGGCCAGACCACATTATTTCACGGGCCTTATACAGCTCGCTGCTGCGTGTTCCCCGCCCCAGTCAATGGTAATGAGCAAAAAACTGTATTAAAACTTGGTATTGGCCTATCCCTGGATGTTTTGGTTTTTGACTCTGGTTTGTCCTCAGGAGTAAAGCAAAAATCTAGAGTTAAGAGGAAGGGTAAACAGCTCAGCCAAGTGCATTGAGCATCATCCTATGCACCAAGAGGTCACTGGTTCAATTCCTGGTCAGGGCAATAAAATCTTTTATTTTTTAAAGAGGAAGGGTAAAGAGCCAAGATTCAGACTAAAGGCAGAGAATGAAAAATGCTCAAATATAAGACAATTGCTTATTGAACAAGTGAATATATATAGAAGGATAGTGGGGCAATGCTTCATCTATTTGAAAACCATTTGTATTTCCTTTGCTATAAACTGATCACTTCCATTGCCAATTTTTATTTTGGGTCTTTGTATTAGATTAAATCTAACTGCAAATTCTTTCACATCCTGTGAAGAGGTGGGCTCTGTTTTCCAGCTCTGAATCTGGCCAGGGGTATGAATGCCAGGCCTTTATAGGTAACTTCATCCTTGGTTTATTAGAGCCCTGGACTCCCTCATATAAAAAAGCATACAGGCCCTGGCTGGCCTGGCTCAGTGGAAGAGTGTTGTCCTGCAGACTGAAGGGTCCTGGGTTCAATTCCGGTCACGGGCACATGCCCGGGCTGTGGGCTCAACCCCCAGTGGCAGGCATGCAGAAGGCAGCTGATCAGTGATTCTCATCACTGATATTTCTATCTCCCTCTCCCTCTCCCTTCCTCTCTGAAATCAATAAAAATATTTCTTTTTAAAAAATCACTTTTAAGAACAAGAGAAATGAAATATCTATGATTAAACTAGATAAACTAGAAAGAAAAAATGCAAGAAAAAAACTCAGACTCAGGAAAATTTGAACAAACAGAAAGACATCAGGTATTTAGATTAAAAAAATAATTCTAAGTTCTAGAGCTTAATGTGATCACAGTGAAAATACCAAAAGGATATTTTTCTTTAATTTAGAGACGCTAATTCTAAAGTTTGTGGGGAAAATAACCAAGAATAGCTAGGGAAAATTTACTCCTTTTAGTCCTAACAAATAACAAAACATTACAAAGCTATAATATTTTTTAACAGCGATACTGGTCCATAAAGAGATACAAAGATCAAATGAACAACACTATATACATGTACACATACACTTGGTATATTTATAATTGTATTTTAAGTTGAATGGGGAACAATGAATTATTGTTTTGTAAAGATGGTGGAAAACTGAGCAGCCATCTAGAAAGTATAAAGCTGTTATCAATCCCAGGATACACTGGGATTGTATTAAATCTCATTCAAAGATTTAAATGTAAAATAGCAAAATCATTTTTTAAAGCAAACCACTTCTGATGAGTTGTATATAATCAGACAAATGATCGCTTAGAGGGATCAATCCCTAAAAGTTTAGGAAACTTGACTTCAAGGAACAGAAAAATGCAAAACAAGTAGCTAAGCATCTCTGGTGGAATAGCTCTACCAGTGTGCTCTATCCATGCTGTCTCTGAATTCAGCAAATTTACCTCATTTCCTCTGTGCACATGACCCTCCATTGAGTTTGAGGCAGGAAAATTTCTTAAGAGAAATAATATCATGCATTTTCTAGCTCCCTACAGTTTAAAAATCACTTTCATCTCCTTTGATCTCAACACTTTTATGAGGTTGGCATTAGTATTTATCCTCCTTAAACAGAAGACTTCAGGTAAGCAGGTTATGTTTCTGCCACTTGTCCCTTTAGACAAGTGCTTTCAACTCTGAGCTTCAGTTTCCTCATCTATAAAATGGGTATTCCAATTAAATGAAATTTCTGTCAGGCCACAAACCCATGACATAACTTAATAAATTCCAGCTCTTCTGTGTTACCCAGGAAACAATTATGTTAGAACACTGAGGCCTTTATATATACACACATACTTAGTATGTACACATATACTACTACCCTAAAACTTCAGTCCCATGAGGAAGGAACGTTTGTATCTTCATTTTGGTAACAACTAAGCCAAGATGTAGCAAAGCTAAAGAATTGATCCTTGGTCATACAAGTGAGCTGGATTTGAGCCCTGCAATCAGATTTCAGGGTTTTCACGCTAAATTGAAATTTAGCTAAATTGCTCTGTCGCCACCTTACAATAACTCCCACAAAGATATGAGTTGAATCAGTAATGGAGCAAACCACTACCGGCTGGCTTTTGAACCAGATGGTCTGTGGCTGAGAGTGCTAGGTGGATTTGGCTTCTTACTGCCCTGTCCTTTCCACCACAACGCTGCCATCAAGCAAATAGGCTTTAGAAAAAGCACTAAATCTTGGGTTTCGGCACCAAAAATAAATAAATAAATAAACAAAGGAAAAGTACTCAACCAACCCATTTTACTGAGAGAGGTAAGCACCATGGAATACTGTGCAGCAATAAAAAAGGAGGATCTCTTACCTTTGAGACAGCATGGAGGGAGAGAATTATGCTAAGCGAAAGAAACCAGTCAGAGAAAGACAAGTATTACATGATCTCACTCATATTGGAATCTAATGAACAAAATAAAACAAACTGAACAAAATAGATCCAAGAGACATAGAATCCATAGAACAAACTGTGGAATCTCAGAGGGAAGGCGGGGAGGGTAGGTGGGTAGGAAGAGATCAACCAAAGAACTTGGATGCATACTGTATGTGCATAACCCATGGACACAGACAATAGGGTGGTGAAGGCCTAGGAGGGAGAGGGAGAAGTCGAATAGAAGACGTCAATGGGGGGCGGGGGGAAGGGAGACATGTGTAATACTTTCAACAATAAAGATTTAATTTTTTTTTTAAGCCACAGTCTTCCTCTCTGAAATCAATAAAAATATATTATTGTGGGCGGGAGTCGGGGGAAGCCGACTCAAAAAATGGAGACACAAACAGGCCAGTATCTCCCCCGTCTCCCTCCAGGTGGCGCTGTAGGGCCCACGCCCGTTCCCAAACGCGGTTGCCTCCATTTGGCCTCCCCCGGAGGCTACGGAGCACCGAGAAAAGCTAGAGAAGCCCTTCCCAGGAACTGCGCAGGCCGCTATGCCAGCCCCGCACACTTCCGCTTCCGGTTCTTTATTCCAGAAGTGGCTCCGAGAGAGCGTGCGGCTTAGTGTGGTCTTTTGTCAGCTTCCACCATGGCGTACCGCGGCCAGGGCCAAAAGGTGCAGAAGGTGATGGTGCAGCCCATCGTATCCTACGCAGAATGTCAAGACCGGGAGGTTCGGGCCAGAAAGCGGGGCGGAAAGGCAGACGGCGGGCTCGGAGGAGCGGTGTGCGCCTTCCACATCCCGTGAGCCCCCGCGGCTGCCCAGGCCCTG